TGTTTTTTAATACAAGTACACCTGTCTCTTATACACATCTAGATGTGTATAAGAGACAGGTGTGTGTGTGTGTGTGTGTGTGTGTGTGTGTGTGTGTGTGCGTGTGTGTGGGTGTGTGGGAGTGTGAGAGAGAGAGAGAGAGAGAGAGAGAGAGAGAGAGAGAGAGAGAGAGAGAGAGAGAGAGAGAGAGAGAGAGAGAGAGTACACATGACTGTTGCCAAGTATCTGGCGCTCATTCTGCTTTTCACTTTGCAGGTTGTGGTGTATGTGGAGCAGATGAACGGAGGGCATTGAAATCCTGCTCAATCAGTCAAATGGGAGGCACTGGGTGTCGCCAGTGCTTTCGTTACGATGACTGCCTTAGCCTGAGCTTGCGGTTGTTCAGCTAGTCCAGAACCTAGAGTCGTTTGGTTGTGAAGGCGGTTTTGCTGTTGTGCATGCGGAATGCATATATTCCGCTGCAGTGCTGAGTTTTGGTTTTGAACTGTGGACCTGCATTGTGCTTGGAAGACACCCTGTGGGCCTGTGGGTAATAGGCCGTGTGGACAAGGAGAAGATGGGAAAATGATTCATTATCCTGTGGGATTATGTGTAAGGCAGTGCTGATGGCAGCCAAGGAACATCTTTCAATCTCTAACATGGCAGCCGGCAGGAGTCAAGCTCCATCATTATGGACTTCAAATGTCTGCTATCGATTTGGGAGCAAGTCTTCTGCTGTCCTTTGTAGTCTTTTCCACACTCCTTTGTTCCAAGTGTCCAGGAACCGGCACTGGTACCCTACGCTACTACTGGCAAGCTTTGTACTATTACTCTCCCATTCTATTTCTGCCGAGGTGCGTCCGAGGAATAATGCCAACGTTCAGGGCAGTGTCCCAGGAGGGTCTGTCCTCTATCCTGGTGATGGCGAGTGGCCATCACCAAATGAGAACTACGTGATGAAACTCCGCGAGGATGGCACTCTTGGGATAGAGATGATGAAATGGGGGAACGTGACTGTTTGGACAGCGCAGCTTTCGGGGAGGAATTTGAAAGGTGCAAAGGCCATTTTTCAAGTCAGCGGCAGCCTGGAATTGTATGCATCTGATAACCGGCTGCTGTGGAGCACAGGAACAGATGGTAATCGATCGAGTGCAGTCATGGAAGACGGGGGTAACTTCCGAATCCAGGCCGATCAGAAGTATCTATGGGAGAGCTTCAAGAACCTGACTGATACGATGGTCCAGGGGATGGTGGTGAATGACCAGTACGAACTGAGGAATGGAACGCGGTACTTGGGGTTCCTGGAGGAGGGAAACCTTGCCCTCTTCAAGGTCGGTGTTCGCACACCGTTGTATGATAATCGTATGGTTTATTGGTCAACCAATATCAATGCAACGCCGACGGAGTTTAGACTGGACCTGAATTCAGAGTATGGCCTTGCAGTTCTGGATCCGACTTCAAACGGGCAGCTGTGGAGCACGAAGGACCAAATCGTTTTACCAGACGCTGCTTCGGAGAAGTCTCAGCAGCCTCCTCGGTATTATGCAAGTCTAGACAGGACTGGCAATCTAAAGCTCTGGCGCTGGGTGGGGGCTGATTCAGTTGGCAGTTGGCAGGTTGTCTGGCGTGCCCTAAGCAATCTGTGTGATGCTGCTCCATGTGGCGAATATGAGGTGTGCAAGTCCAACAGTTCGATGGGCGATAGCTATGTGTGCGATTGCTTGGACGGTTTTGTGAACGACGAGTATTATGGGTGTCGCCCACCCATCACACCACAGTGTTCCCAAAAAGCAGACCAGTTCAGGGAGGTGATGAATGTGGGCTTCATAGGTTATGATATCAACTCGACTTCAGTGACTGACTTTATGGCATGCAAGTCTCTCTGCATGCAGGTGTGCGATTGCATGGGATTCACATATAACGAGTCCACCAGGTACTGCGGTCTGAAAAGCAAGATTGAGAGTGGAATTCATGCCCAGGGTAGCAAGACGTATGTGCGTGTGGGGCGGAGGGACGGCCGTCTTGATAAAATGATTTTTATAGTGAGTGGTGTAGTACCCGTGGGAACCATAGTAGTTTTTGCAATTGCGGTTCTCTGCTGGTGGCGAGTCCGTAAAGCCCTCCGTGCGCGCCACCGGAATCGTGAACTCGCTCCGTACGGGAATGACACGGAGAAGGGGAACTTGGAATCGAGTGTTGATGAGGAACGCGTGGAGGAACGGGCAACGGTGATCACTGCCCTAGGCGGGCCTCGGGCCTTTTCCTACCGTCAACTCGATGCTGCAACCACTGGATTCAACACGGTTCTAGGAAAAGGTGGGTTCAGCATTGTTTACCGAGGTGTTTTGCCTGAGGGTACCATCGTTGCAGTGAAAGTTCTCACTGGGCATGCTCAGCGAGCAGAGAGTGAGTTTCTCTCGGAGGTGGCGGCCATTGGCCGGCTGCAGCACTCCAACATCGTTGCACTTCTGGGCTTCTGCTCTGAGGGAAGTCATCGTATGTTAGTCTACGAATTCATGGCAAATGGTGACCTGCATAACAAGTTGTTTGGGCCAAAACGACCCGGAGCCCAGACGAGTACCACATTCACTGCCCCTGTTGGACAGAATTTCAACCATCAGGCACTAGCAGGCGGAGCACGGGTGACAGCTGTTGACGCCAATGGCTCGCATCAGACTGAGAGAACAGTGCCAGCACAGGCCATGAACCCTCCGAACGCTTCTCCCTGCGACCAGAGTGTGGACATGAGCTGGGTGCTGGACTGGAAGTCGCGGAATGAAATTGCTCTCGGTGTTGCTCGTGGAATATCTTACCTGCATGGGGAGTCACGAAAGCGCATCATCCACTGTGACATCAAGCCGAAGAACATTCTGTTGGATGATAGGATGGTCCCGCACGTGGCAGATTTTGGCCTGGCGAGATCGACTGGGCAAGATGAGTCCAGGGTGTACACAGACCATGTACGGGGTACAATACATTATCTGTCCCCTGAGTATGCCCTCCATGGAATACTCACGGATAAGAGTGATGTGTATAGTTTTGGTATCATGTTGCTTGAGATGCTGAGTGGCCGCCGCAACTTGGAAGTCATTCATCCTCCAGAAGAGCCCGATGCCGATATTGACGATCAGCAGCCTACGATCATTCACCTACCAAGCATGGCGTCGTCTTACTGGGAGGAGATGCGTCCAAGCGAATTCGCAGACCACCGTCTGGGAGGAAACTTCGTGAAGGAAGAATTCGAGCGAATGATGCAGATTGGACTTCAATGCTCCCACATTGACCCTGCGTTAAGGCCAACGATGGCATCCGTCGTGCAGATGCTGATGGGTCTAATTCCGGTTCCATCAGTCAATCGGGCAGAGTATGTGGCAGCTGCAGCAAGTTATCTCCAGAATCCTTGGCCTCAGAATCTCAAGAGGACTTCTGACCCTGGGACAACTAAGCGACCTCGCCATGGGAAGTCCTCTGGCAGTGCTAAACATGATCGGGCGAGCACCGGCAGTAGTCGCGTGGAAAGGTCCAGCTGTAGTGCAAGGACAGACACCTCCTCATCTGGCAGCGGTGGCACGCCCGAGTTATCTCCATCTCTCCTCCAGCCACGGTGATAACATGTTGACAGAAGAGGGGATGACTGGTGACCTTGCTTCCTTGTCGTCCTGATTGCAAAGTTCTGTGGACCCCAGACATGTCTAAGTACTGCTCGTTCTTGCCTTTAGGCTGTCATCTGTACCTGCCATGACACGCTTTTCGTCACCGCTAGATTGTGGAGGCAATGCCGGGGCAGAACATGAACTTCACAGGTGATGCCAACTTTTTATCATGTCGTTTGAGAGCGACTGCATGCCTGTGACGGCCCCAGCGGTCATTCCTGCTTCGAGGCTGCCATCTGTCCGTGCGCCTACTACAGTATACGGCTCTTTTCTGTGGGGTTGCAGAGCCATAGCAAGCTCGTCCTCAATGCTTGATTGCGGAGGCAATGCTTCGGCAGGAAGCAAACTTTGCAGGTGATGTCAACTTTTTATCATGTTGGTTGAGAGTTACCTCATGCATGTGTACCTGCTTTGACAAACTTCCTCGCTTGCACGCTGTTTGTGGATGCCAGCATGCTGCTTCTCGCCGCTAACTTCTCTCTGGAACCTGACCTATCCTGTTTTCCTGCATTTGTCTTTTTCACTCTCCTGGTGTTGTTTTCTACCGCATCTCATACCCGACCGATGTACTGACATTTTGTAGGATGATTGATCATCAATAATTTCTACCACCATGATTTTGGGTTTGTTGGGCCCTCTTCCACCAGCCGTCAGAATGGGTACCAAAGCTGGCAAGATTCAATTAGCAGTCTCAAGCTATGAATGCTCTCAGTGCTCGAGGACTTCCTGCAGCCATGCTAATAAATTCTTATACCTCGGCCTTTTCTTCGTTTGTCCTGCGTCCGCTGATGGAGCCCCTCCATTGTTTACCTGAAAAACTCTTCCAACCCGGATTTTTCAGCTCGTACTATGTGCATTTTCCGTGTTCTGTGTTAGGATTTTCCATTTTTCTGATCGCACGTAACGTTCTATCGACCCAAATCTTCAATCTCTCACCTTGACCTGGGGGGTGACCATCCTCAGTCGTTTGAAACGGACAGGGGTAGATGATGTAGCCCCTGTTCAGGAACAGGTCCACGACCCCCTTCTTCTTCTCCTTAAAAGAGCTGCCCTGGCTCTTTGCCTAGGTGACTGATGAGCAGGTTGGTTCGCCTGTTCAACTTATCGCCATGTTATCTTGCCTCCTGTCTGGGGAGGCCTGCTTGGTCGCCCAATCTTGGCGGACCTCTGCCCATTGACTCGACCGATCCGAGGGTTGATCTCGTCGTGTTGATTCTCCTTTCCGTGGGAACCTGGCTTCCTGTTGCTTGTGTGTACCCCTGTTGCGGATCCTGCCTTTGTCGAAGAGGGCCGCATGAACGTTTCATCTTGTCTAAGTCTTTTATTTTTTCGTCCTTTTTTCGTTCTGATGTAGTTACTCGTCTCGATCGTCGTTATTTGCATGCGACCATGGGTTTTGGGCCTTGCGGATTTTGTCGTTAGGTGGTTCGGCAGGGAGCTTGGCTAGGCTTAACATTATATGGTCGTTCAACGAACGAGTCCTCATGGCTGACCCTACCTCACCCGCCATGGCATGTCTCATCCTGGAACAAGAGTTTCGCTAGTTGGACACTTCTCACTATCCCCTCGTTATCACCGAAACGTGCTAGTGTTTTTTAACTGTAGGAATACTACTGGGAAGTGGGTGGGCTTATCATGAGCTAGGTTGGGGCGGTTGGTGGTCTTGGGATCCCGTGTTGTATCTGGTGTATTTGGATCTCCTGCTGCTGCAGGTTGGGATTTACTCTCTGCCTTACACTCTCAGCTGTCGCCTCCCTCCTAACTGACTTGTCTTTCTTATTCGCTGTCCTATAGACCCTCGGTGGCTCGCATCTTGTCATCGTTTAGCCGGCCTGGCACGGATAGCATTTATTATTATAGATGTTGTTTACTCATGTCTAGTTTGATAGACCTACCTGCCTTACTCTGAGAGTGCTGAGCTTTGCTCACCTCAGTGGGATGCCTGGACGACGTCCCAGTATAAGACTCAAGGAAGAGCTGTCAGAATTTCGACTGACCATATCATCATCATCATCATCATCATCATATACCAATAAAGCAGGCAGTCTGCTAGGTAACTTCCTTATATGATATCTGTGCCTCCTGTTATCCGTTCGAATAACATTTCTTGAATCATTTCGTGCAATGCTGCTGCCCTGTCCTCAGTGAGTGTCTACTCGGCATCCAGTGCAGCTTTCTAACCAGGTGAGTCTGGGATGATATCTGCCTACCGAGTACGTCAATGGTATTGGGAAATTTGTCAATATCATGCATGGATTGTTAGGCATTGAGCAAAGAGTGTGCATCATGAATATTTTGTGAAGTCTCATCAAGCTTCATTTAGGCTTGTCGAACTTTTGCAAATTTTGTAACAGATACCCAGCGTCCATCAGCACTGGGTGCTACCAACGGCCCTGGCATCCCGTGAAGACCCGAAAATCAGGTCGGAATGCTGATGGGGGATGCGGTCTCTCGTTATGAACATTTAGGGTAACCTTTTGATAAACCAGGTTAAGTCTTTTAGTGCATTGATTGGCTGGTATCAGTGCAGTCAGTTGCACACGCACAGGAGCGGAGGTGCTCATCTTATAAGAAGGTGAAATGCCAGGTGCATTGGTTTGTTTTGAACTGGCGTCTGTATCTCCTATTCTTTCTTTCTCCTGAAAAGGGATCCGTATGTGCGCAGATGTGTGTGTGTGTGTGTGTGTGTGTGTGTGTGTGTGTGTGTGTGTGCGCGCACACGCTTCGGGGCGGGGGGGGGGGTGAATATCGCTCCTGCCCTTACAGCATGGACTAAGCAAAGGTAGTCGTATGGTAATGACTGCCAGTGACTTAGATCCATGGGTTTTCTACGTCCGATCCATTTGACCAGATTTACCTGCATCCTGGTATGGGTGCAGAGATTGGCCCCATCATCTCTTGATGTTGGCAAGGTCTTGCTTCTGCTTACTCGAGCGAACCACCACCTCTATACATCTGTTTCTCAATCAAGACCACACTGATCATCTCTCTCTCTCTCTCTCACTCTCTCTCTCTCTCTCTCTCTCTCTCTCTCTCTCTCTCTCTCTCTCTCTCTCTCTCTCTCTCTCTCTCTCTCTCTCTCTCTCATCTGTGGCATGCATGCACTTTCCTCTACTGCCCTTACAGATATGGTGACAGTGGTACAATTTATGTTTACATGTCTGTGATTCCTATCGTCTAGCTCAGTGTTATGGCTGATTTTCATTGATTTACGGGCCCTATGCTGAGCAATATTTCCAACAGTCCGTGTCTGGGAAAGCCGAAACACCTTTTTCTGGACGTCAAGAAGAATAACTTGGCTGCGCACGCGTTTCTCTGTTGCTGAGAATCCACGTCCCTTCCACCTCCTCCTTGGCCCACATGCATAAAACTGATCGCTACTTGTCTGACACTTAATCTGCGAGGAAATTTCTGCTTTACTGTCTTGCTTGTTTAAGCCTAGCTATTTTTGTTGCACTGTTTTTGTTGCCACCCCTCCACCCTTCTTGGATGACAAGCTTACTTTACTCTAAGCTCCAGCCTTTGCGCACTTGATCACTAACTTTCCGTCCGCGATCAATGAGGACCTCTGAATCTGTGCTTTCTTCCCTACTTCTGCATTGCAGAATTGCATGGGCAAGAAGGCTTGCTTATCGACAGCAACCTTTTTCTTTCAACGTACACACGAACGAAAATTTCTGAGGCCACTATAGAGCTTCTTCGTTCAGGTGATCGGGTCTTCCGATGAAACAGTTGACGGATTCGTCGCGAGGCAGTAGGTATCGCAGCAAGTTGCAGACAGAGGAAGGTGTTTCGGAGACGTAGTGGCCGAGAACCAGTAGCAGGTTAGACCATCTTGAGTGTGTACACCTGCTCTATCGCCAGAGTCGCCTGGCTCAGGGCGCCGCAGCGACTCGTCGCCAAACTCACCCGACTCCCGTTTGTAACTTGGAACACTCCCTCCCTTCTCTGTCTTCTCCTTTCTCATCCTGTCCTCTCCAGAACGGTCCTGGCATCTGCTGTTTTTCATCTTCTCCTGTGCTGGTTGCATCACGCTTCGCCTCTCATCTCCTGCGCTGTTCTGCTGTGGACTCGTCTGCCCTCGCGTCGTTTGCCACGGGAGACGGAAAGGAATCCTAATCGTCCCGTCCTAATCTCGGCCTGGAGTATCGCTCTTCTTGGCTTCTCCCCGATGCCTCTGCATTGGAGTGTCGACCTTTTTGTCCCCATACCAGACGAAATGTTGGACTGGCTGGTGTGGACAATTTTTGCTTTATTTGTGTTTTTTGTGAATTAGGAGAACAATTTATTTTCTTTTTTGTTTAATTTCTTTTTAATGTTGTTAATGATTTTCATTTGCTTTTTTGGACGTTTCACCTAAACCACCACTACCTCTGAAGGCCTACAATTTTCTGGCCCGGAGACTGGGGAAGTGGAAAAAAAGGGTTGGGAGATTGTGGTGTGGAGCAAAAATCAAAATGGAGGGCCCATGAAAATGGAAGCCATCTTTGGGGCTTCTTGGGCCTCCACCGTTCTGAGAAATTGACCTGTCAATCGCCTGAGACCGGTTCGGTTCCCGGGCAGACAAAGTTCTTTATGTTTTGGCAGGTCTGGACTGGATATAATAACGGTGGCCATCCCACAGAGTTGACGTCAGGAGGTGGTATCTGCAACTCGCGCCCTCCTTCAGGTGCAGGCATTCTGGTTTCCTCCTCGGGAGTCCCATGGGGGACCATGCTTGCGAGATCCGTGAAGATCGTTCACGCTGGTGCAAGATCGCTGTGTTGTCGGTCGGTTCAAATTTCGAACAGAAGCTGGATCCGCGGGTCCTGCGGAGCGTATCGGAAGTTGCGGTGCCGGCCTGCGGTGCTGCAAAATACTCGGGTGGGAAATTTTCCTTGATGAATGGGAGGGATATCCCACGTCCATGTCCATGGGGGACCATATGCTCGCGAGATCCATGAAGATCGTTCAGGCTGGCGCAAGCAAGCTGTGTTGTCGGTCGGTTCAAACTTCGAACAGAAGCTGGATCGGCGGTTCCTGCGGAGCGTATCGGAAGTTGCGGTGCCGGCCTGCGGTGCTGCAAAATACTTGGGTGGGAAATTTTCCTTGATGTATGTGAGGGATATCCCACGTCCATGGCCAGGAGTTGCTGCAGATGTCAAGCTGTGTAAGTTAAGATGTCTCTGATAAGGATGAGGAAGGCAGAAAGTTTTCTTGCAGAAATGTGAATGAGCTGAGCTGCATGATCACAATTGAACGATGTACATGATTATGGGGTGAAGGGGGTGACAACAGAGTTTGATCTATATGTGTCATGGGAGCTGAGCTTCGGCGATTTCATTCCAGGTAAGTTGGCATCATGTGTGAGACCGAAGAGTCTTTTTTTGTTTTGTTTTTGAGGGTACTATATGCCCAAAGCAAAGCATTCTTTGGCGATGTTTGTCATGACCACATTTTCCGTCCTATCTTTCGCTCCACAGGCCTGGACGTCTCCTCTTTCTTTTCTTTCTTTTTTGCCCCCCTCCTTTTTTTTCAGTTGTGTTCTTTCGTGCTTGCTTTTTTCATTCGTCTCATTTGTGTTTTCTTTTTTTTTGGGAGTTTTTTTTTTTTTTTCCAGCCGTTTCTTTTCCTTCTTTCTTTCTTTCTCAAGTGTCTTTTCTTTCCCAAGTGTGCTGTTTGGTGATGTTATACTGTTTGTCCTTATCTTTTGTCTCTCTTTTCTTTCTTTCCATGGGTCTGGATGTCTCCCTGTCTAACTTTTCTTTGTTTATATTTTTCTTTCTTTACGTCTTTCTTTTTTTTTCTTCACCGTTTTGTTTTGTCTTTGATTTCTTTGTATATTAGTTCTCTTTTCTGTTCATCTCAAGGTGTTTCTGTATCTACTTTCCTTTCTTTGTCTCTGCTGTTTTTTTCTTGCTCTCTTTTCTACACTCTTGCTAAAGTGTAAGCCCGGTCTTGCGTAATGCCCCTGCGAGGCCCGACTTACAGTCTTGAGGAAATTCTGGGTGGGGGGATGGGGGGKGGGGGGGGCGGTTGCAGGAGGCCCAGCAGAAACGGCTACTGGTGCGGCTGGCTTTTGCTCGTGTTTTTTAATACAAGTACACAGCGGGCCAAGGACGCAACGTGRRGGGKGGGGGGGGGGGGGGKGGGGGGGGGCGGTTGCAGGAGGCCCAGYAGAAACGGCTACTGGTGCRGCTGGCTTTTACTCGTGTTTTTTAATACAAGTACACAGCGGGCCAAGGACGCAACGTGAAGCCTGGCAGCTTTTTGTTTTTTTGTCGGTTTCTTGGTTTGCACGATGTCGTTTTGGGGCGGCTGACAACCTTTTGGCCGCTGGGAGTGGGTCGTTTGAAGCCTCGCTCGGCTACTCTCCACGTGCACGAAAGATTGAAAAAATATATGGTGGTGTATCTTTCCATATTGTAGTGGGAGATTCATTCTCCCCTTGCACAGTGTGGTGAGCAGAAGTCCGAATCGTTTCACGGCTTCGTTTCTTTTTTTCTTTTCTAGTCGTTTTCTTTGTTTCATTGGCGTCGCTCCAGATGTACAAAGCACAAAGATACGAAAGACCCCAAAAAAAAAAACAAAGTGGTGTATCTTTCCTTGTTCTGGTGGAGGATTCATTCTTATGTTGGACAGTAGGTAAATAGTGGGGGCAGGGCCACACTGCACGACTCCCCGCATGCAAAGAGGACAAAAATATGTCGGTGTATCTTTCCATGTTCTAGCAGAGGATTCACTCTCATTTCTTTTGTGCATGTGGAGAGAGTAGTGAAGCGAAGCTAAAGATGTCTCTGGAAAGGTGACGGCCATGAGATATGGGGCCTTGCTCCACTACTCACCAAATGTGCAAAATGGGAATGAATCTTGTACTAGAACATGCCCAGATACGCCACCATATTTTTTGTCTTTTGTGCATGTCGCGAGTAGTGGAGCGACACCCAATGATCATCGAACAGATCGGCCCCAGTCAATTTGAACTTATGTCTGTATTTCAACAGCTCAGGGGTGTGTACCAAGCTATAAGGCCAGTTGGTAGCTGGTGCGTTTGTGTTTGGCTTGCCGGTTGTTGTTGTTGTCTGGCAAAAAACAAGAAGGCTTGGCGTTTGGTTTGGCTGACATGGCCCTCCTTTGTCGTTCCGTCTCATCACCCACCACCACCTCTGAGCCGCGGCGTCGCCGAGGCCTGACTTGTTCGAAGAAAGAAATAACACAAGAAACGACAGAAATAACGAACCAATGAAAGAAAAGATTATCGAATGAAAGAAATATAATTAATGTTCATTCTTTTATTCCTTCTTTCGTACCCATTTTTGTGTGCCAGATTCTTTTATTCTTTCTTTCGTTCTTTTATTTCTTTGTTAATGCTCATTCTTGTATTCCTTCTTTACATCCCCATTTTTGTCTGTCAGATCCTATCTCTCATTCTTTTATTTCTTTGTTCTTTCTTTCATTCTGTCATTTGTCCATCTGAGCTTGTGTTATGTCTTTTTTTTCGCTCGTTTTGTCCTTTCTTTCATTTGTTCTCCTTTCAGTCCGGACGGCTTGCATTTGTTCTCGTTCCTTCTTTCTCCTGTTTTCTTGTTCATTTTGTTCAAAATTGTCGCTCTCCTGTTCTTTCACTCAATTATTTTCTTCTTCTTTTTCGCCTGTTCGTTCTTTTGTTCTTTTGTTCTTTCGTCGTTTGTACTTTTGTTTGTTGTAACTTTTCTTTTGTTCTTTTGTTCTTTTGTTCCTTCGTTTGTTTTCTTCTTTTGTCTGTAAATTTTGTCGTTCTTTCAATTGGATTTTGATGTTTTGCTCGTTCTACTTTTTCCCCATTTTAACATTTTTTCCCTTCCTTTCTTTTGGCAGTTTTTGCACACTTTCAGACAGTTAACTGTTCTTTCTTTTGTTCTCTCTGACGTTATTTCTCTCGTTCTTGTGCTTCCTTCTTTTGCGCATTTGTTCTCTCATTTGCTAGGTTCACCAGGGCGGACGTCCGGGACCCCTCTGGATGACTTGTCCGGTCGGACAACTACGGAGACATCCTCCGGAGACAAGTATGTCCGACCCTCTATTAAATGAAAAAAAAAAAAGATTCTTTTTTTGTAGGTTCTCTCTCACACGAGGTATATCCCACAAAAATTTTGGGTCATTTGAGCCCATAGAAAAAATGATAAAAATTGCCAAAGATGTCTGTGTCAATTTCAATCAAACAGTTCTATCTTATGGGGGTCGATTTCAATCACGCACCCCCCCCCCCAATAAATCCCCCTTTCCCCATGTTTTGCATTTTATTTTATTTTTTGCTCCAAATGAGCTGGAATTTGTTTATGGTGTCACCTCATGTAGCAACCCGTCCCCATTTTTATTTATTTTTTGCTTTTTTTTTTATTGTGAAAATGAGTACTCCGGGATTCCGGACAACTCTGCGGGCCAAGTTGTCCGCCGGAGACGTCCGGCCAGGACGTCTCCGGATCTGACAACCGGTAGCCTAGCTCATTTGCTGATTCTTTCTTTCTGTTCGTTCTCGCTTGTCAGTTCTTTTAAGTTTTAACTTCTTTCATTGTGTCTTTTTTTTCTTCTTCCCTCCTTTCAGATTCGTTCTTTTCTTCACTCATTTTGTTCTTTCTTCATTTTTTTTCTTCCTTTGTTTGTGCTCTTTCTTTCCTTCGGTCGTTCGCTCCGTCTCCAGTTTGTCTGTTCTTGTTCTTTCTTTCTGCGCCCCCCCCCCCCCTCCCGTTCTTTAAGATTTTTCTCCCCTTCTTTTCTTTTTGCGCGCTTTTGGAAAGTCAATTCTTCTTTCTTCTTTTGTCCGGTCTTTTTCTTTTGTTCATTCTTTCTTTCGTTCTTGCGCTGTTTGGTCAGGGGGAGTGTGCGGACTTTGTGAGGCATTTGTAATGAACCGACTTCAGAAGCTCACAATCAAATCGCACATGAACTCGACAATAAACGACAAGACTGTATATGAATAAGAGGGGAGCAAGAGCATGAAAATATCCGGACAAGGAAAATGATGAGTGAAGAAGGAAAGAAAGAGCAGCGTGATAATATCTTCTTGAAAGGGTTAATTGCATCTGTGCCCCTTTGAAAGACGGGAATACCCTCTACCAGTGCCCAACTAGCATCTGTAGACTCTGTACCCGGGAAATGGTTTGTGTGAATTATTTGCATTCGCAGGACGGAGGTGGGCCAAGGTGAATTGCATCTGTGCCCCTTTGCACAGCCCGTGCCCGATTTCTTGGCGTAAACATAATTTTGGGCACCCGAACCAAGGGGCTGTTGACTGGGTACACGCATAAGTTGGCGCAAGTGAAAAATAGGGTATAACCTTAACCACCACTACGCGCCCTCAGCCTTGCAGAAAAGTAAACTTGTCGCCACAAGAGAAATTCGAGGCTTGGGGAAGGCAGGGTAGTGCGCTGGGGGAGAAAGAGGTGGGCCCCGCAGAAAAAGGCAAATGGACTGTTGTTTTGCCTGCTGGTACACGTTCAGTCTGTGACTGTGAAAACACATGCACGGACGAGGCCCAGCTATAGCCAAAAAAAAAAAAAAGTTTAAAAACTGAAACAAAAGGAACAGAGCGGCAAAACGCCTGCCACATGGCGGGCATGCACTATACGAGGGCAGAAAGCCCTCCAACTTCAGGAAAAGGGGCAGGCCCGTGGTAGGCAAGTATGCAGTGATTCACAGGTTATGTATCCGCACCCATTCCGTGTCTGCATACTGGCGCAGAAAAGTGAAGTGTTCCTGCCTCGTTGGCACTGAAAAGAAATGAAAAACGAAAAAAAAAAAAAAAAAAACTTGTTTTTTTTCGAGTGCCTGCCCGAGGAGAACGGGCAGTGCTGTGGGAATCCAGCTGTCTGTATCTGGCTTAGGAAGTGCACATTATGAATCTCGTGTGGACCATGTGGCAGCACAGCTGTCAGAGGACAAACGAGGTCCCTAAGATCCTGCAGACAGTCTCGTGTCCTAAGGTCCTCCGCTTTATTTATTTATTTTTATTGTTTTTTGGGAAAGCTCTGCTTTATTTTGTTTTCACAACTTTTCAGCTGTAAGGGAAAATTATATACCACTGCCTGCTCGTTTCGTGAACAGGCAGCCATTCATGATGAGGTGCCTGCATCTAGCACCCGATATGTGCCACATGCGGGTGCTCTCTCCCGTGGGTGTTTGGCTGGGCGGCAAGTAGTGAAAACAGCGGCCTCCTTTTCCTTCCATCGCCTGACAGCAGGTCCAGCACAGAGGCCGGTACCGGTACCGGTACCACCCCAATTTTCCAAGAGCTGGTGCCCATCATGGGCAGCTTTCAGGCTCGGCAAAATTCAAAATTTAGGCTCGTACATCTAGGGTCGGGTGTACTGGTGGTTCAAGTTGGACAGGGCCTGTGTATAAATACAAGTTGGGTGTTGGGACTGGGTTAGGGCGTATTCCCATCTCT